CTGCATTGCTTTTTTCCTTGGGTAAGAAAAACTGGAGGGGATGATTCACAGTAACACCTCAGTTTTTCTGCTAACAACTCACAAGGATACACCATAGGAATAAAAGCAAACTAAAACCAGTCCGTCACAAAAACCGACTCAGTAATCTTAAGCTTTTATAAATATTAACAAAAACAATGAATGTTATCTTCCAAAGAAGAAATACTAGTTAAAAACAAGGTTGTATTTTCTTGCATTAGAAAAACATGTTATCGAACCACTGACTGGATCAAGATGAGCATTCTCTTATACCTCACACAAAAATAAATGAATAGAGTAAATATATGCATAGTTAGAATACCAGAACTCTTAAAATTTGAGAAGAAGTAACATTTAAGGTGATTAAAAACAGGACTGAGGATGACAGTCAGTAACAGAGTACTTGCCTAGTGTATGCAAGGCACTGAGTTTAATCAGCAGCACCACAGACAATAATAATAATCACAATCATAAAGCCAAGGCATTTCCATAGCTTAAGAATTTTATCAGATAAAATATTTAAGAAGTTGTATAAAGTATCCAATAGGAAAAATGCAAGAAGACAACACCACAGCATAATATAAAATCACAGAATAACTGTTAATATGCAAAGATAAAAATAATCACAAAAGAAACAGTGAAAATACATTTTTTCATACTAAGGCCAATAACCGCCTTGACAAGAGCAGACAAACAAAAACATAATGGACAACCGGTTTTAATACTGAAAGTAACTGCCATCCTATAATTCTGTATCAACCAATAAATTCTTCAAATGAAGGACTAATAAAGATGGTTCAGGTGTATTAACACTGGGAACATTTGTTTCAGCAGACTTTATGTAAAAAAGCCAACAATAATCCCAAGAGAAGCTTAGAAATGTATGAAGGCATGAAGGTCCAGGAAAAGCACCAATATGTAGATAGGTTAAAATAAATACTGACCATATGTAATGTATGCACTGTAACATAAAATGTACAGACAACAACGTCTTATCAAGTGATTTATTTCTACATCTATTTTAGTTCCCACAATACCAAAAATGATCACGATAGTGAGTATTCCAAGGCTCCTCCATTCTTAATATGGGCACTGGTAACAGAACAAGATTTCTTCAATTAAAAAAATCTTTTCCTTTCTGAGAAAACTATTTCAAAAAAACAGAGTGAAAGGAAATGTCACCATTAGAGATAAGTAAATTTTAAGTAGAAGTTCCAAAATAGTCAAGAAAAAGGAAAACATAGGGAACAAAGAATAGGTGAGTCAAATAAAAAACAGGAAAATGACAGAATACTAGTTACACTAAATAAAAGTGGACTGAACATTTTAACTAAAAGACTATGATTTGACTAGTTCTTTAAAACTGAAAAACCTAGGATCAGTAAGAAACACACAGGCATAAGAAAAAGATTGAAAGTAGAAAGACAGAAAAGATATACTGCAAAAGCACTAACTGGTAATAATGAGATTTTTTTTATATATATAATAGAAAGAACCATTGCCATAGATGTAGAAGTGGGGATTTTTTGTCATCATTTTTTAAAGAGTTGGTCTACTGAGAAGATATAGCAATTCTGAGTTTGTATATTCCTCTTGTTATAGCTTCAAACTGTCAAAGGTAAATCCATGACCTAAGTATCTTCTCTGAATTCAAGTGACTATTAAACATTCACTTTGCTGCAGATCTTGAGAATATTTTGGGTTATATACATTATAAAATACTTCCTCTGAGTTGTAACTCTGGTCCTAGTTAGCTTTACTGAATTCAAGTTTATCAAATAAAGTTGTCTTTGCATATATGACCAACACTGTGGCAAAACTCTACTTTTACCTAACTTTGTAATTTTTATAAATAAATCCATTTGCTCAAAATTTATCATAGTTACGGTATTTTCACAATAAAAAATTTATCATAAGTAAGATGATGTGGAATGTTCTAACGCAAGCTGAGGTTCCATGTCAATACTTCTAACAATGGTAAATAAGAGCATCCCATTATGGCAACAGGGCACCTTAAGCCTCAAGCCTGCTCCACACTAATACATATAAATAACTGTTAGATCCCTACAGTCACAATTGTCTGCCTATAAGTAAGTAGCCATAAGTTACTACATTTTATGATCATAAAATGCAACTGTGATAAAAATATTATGTTGGAAATGATCCGTACAACTTGGGGGGAGGTTGGGAGGGAGGGGAAGTGGGAGAAAAATGAAGGAGGGGAGTGACAAGTTCAGCAAGAAATGTACTCACTACCTTATGTAACTGTAACCCCTCTGTACATCACCTCGATGATAAAATCAAAATAATTTAATTAAAGTAATTTAAATTTGCTTTGCTTTGACAATGAATTGCTCTAATGAATACCAAGTTTGAGTTTTCAAAACCCAACTTGAACTCACTTTTGATACATTTTTTTCCTACTACTTTAATGTCAACTTCTATTATGCTACTAATGCTTTTCAACATTCAGTGGACATGTGTGAAAGCACATATCCTAGCAGGCTCTGGTGTCTCACACCTGTAATCCTAGCCACTCAGGAAGCTGAGATCTTAGATTTGCACTTAGAAGCCAGCCAGGCAGGAAAGTCTGTGAGACTCTTTCTTCCAATGAAGGAAAAAGCTGGAAGTAACACTAGCCTTGGGTACAAAAGCTCAGGCATTGCTCAGGACCTGAGTTCAAGTTCCAGGACTGGCATACACACAAAAAAAAAATATCCCAAAATACCTATAATTGTTCACTCCATTAAAGAAAAGGGGTTCTTGCTCCATCTAGCATTAATTTCTAAAGCTAATACCTATCATTTAAAGGAAGAAATCAATTTGTAATTTCAAATGTGTTAATCTTTTAAGTATTAAAATTGGTTATTTGAATTTCCTCCATCTGTCATCAGTTTCCTAGAAAACAAATGGCCAAAATATTCATGAAAATTAACAGGACTTAAGAAATGTACTCATTACCTTACTCATGTAACTATAACCCTTCTGTACAGTATCTTTACAATAAAAAAGGGAAAAAAAATAGAACAATTCTTAAAAGAAGATCTTTCTGAGAATTTTCACTAGACTCAAATGCAAGGTGAATTGAGCATCTATTATCTACCATACAATGTTTATTTCCTTATATCATTATTTCCTTTTTATTATTTCATTATTATTCCATTTTTCAAAAGAAATAAAAAATCAGAGGTTTAACACTCTGTACAAAAGTTAGACTTTTCTTATTACAACTTAGTTGTGTCTATTTATACAGTTCTTTCCATTACCAGGGATTGGCAAAGGTAATATAAAGAACACAAAATTAATACATAAGGTTTTGTTGACTATCAAGCCTCTCTATCACAAGTACTCAACTCTGCTGTAGCACAAAAGTAATTACAGACAAAATGTAAACAATCGGAAGCAGATGTTTTCCGGTGAAAATGTATTAGCACAACACTTAAACGTAACCAAGAGCACAATTTGTCAATTTCTGCACCACACTACACGTACTGCCTCTTAAAAATATTTAGTGCTTCATTAACAGGTCTAAATTTTCTTCTTACTTTAAGATTTTATCTTAATAATATTGCACAATTGTATTTCCTCTTTCTTATGCTCAATAATAATCTGCTTAAAGAATTCTTGTATGTTCTAACTATATGTCATTATCCAAAATTAATCAATAGATAGAATGAAACTATAAGCATGTGCTATTTTTGCAATGCAAAAATTTTAAAGACCTATAATTTTTTCTTTTGAATATTGTAAAATTAGTACTTAAAATTGTTCATTGTTTAATAAACATAATCACAATTAAATGCACTAATACAGCCAAACAGCAATACCAGATAGTATTTCAACTACTCAAAATTACTGTGTATACTAAAATAATTCAACACATAGAAGTTGAAACTCTCATTTTTCCCCTTATTCCAAAATTCAACTGTATGTATCACCAGAATATTTTTATTAAGATTTAAGCAGTAAAAAATATGCTATAAGGAAAGCATTATTTCCCCTCTCCATTAGTTCTGTTTTTTCTTCTCCCTTCTTACCCTGCATCTCACCTACATGCTTGCGTACTTTTTATCTTCATTTTTCAACCTCTCTCACATACATATACACTTCTCATTCTCCCTCACACATGCTTTCACACACATTCTGTTTCACACACAATTTTTTAATATAAACAGTAGCCACAGTTTATTTCTCACAGTTTTCCTGACAAATGAACATTGTACAATTTTTAAAAATATAAACGAAGGCTCAAATCCCAGCTCTACCACTAAATCTAATTAAATAAGTACTTCCTAGTTTAGTCTGTTTCTTTCATACAAGTGTGTCCATAGCACACATAAAGAATCAAAAAAATCCAGTTTCTGCTATCATTACCATCTCCACCATCTTATTTTAAGTAAGTCTGAACATCTACTGCACTTCCACGACAAAATGGGAAAAGCACTGCCTCAAAAACATCCAGCAAATTCATCTTATAAATGCTGAAAGTCAGTACAGAGGTTCAGTGACATAGGAATCAGGAGGCAAAGGCTGGAGGAGCTTGAGTTCAAGGTCAGCCTGGGCAATACATAGGGATTCCATCTCAAAAAAAAAAAAAAAGAAAAAGAAAAAGTCAGAGAAAGGAACTCCTTTTGTCAAAAATTTAATTGTCATTTAAGAACCTTTACAACATTAAACTATGAAACAAGTATTTAGCATTTCCCTTTTCCTTCTCATCATTTTAAATCTTTTGAAATCAAGACATGTACATTGAAAGATCTATTGTGTTTTTTGTAAAGAAAATCACTCAACTAAAAAATACTTATAATGAGATTTGTTTAAAAGGCAATGTCAACTAAGGCCTACTTTTTCAAGTCCATTATCATTTAAAACTTACCAATCTGGGGTTTATTTTTACTGTTTTACTTTAGATCATTTGCACTTAGCCCAATAACTATATGCACTAGAAGCTCTAATATTAGTGGATAAAAAAGAGAGCTTACCAAATTACGCTTTTTTAGTGGAAGAAAGTAGTAATAGTGGCAGAAAGAAAACATCAGTGCGTAGCAAGTAAGAAGTTCAGTGTAGAAACACAACTGCAGAAAAAGCCAATGATTATCTTCACCAACACAATTGTTTATCCTGAAGGAAATAAACAAACAATAGTTCAAACTTTAATAACATGTTCATTTCAGGATCAGAAAAACTCAAAAACTCAAAGTTTCACATGTGCTTAATTTCATGGAAATATGCTAAAGCCAATCATATCTTAGAGCAAACTGTACCAAGATATAAACATACCACTCTAAATTTATAAAACACTCTTTACAACGCAAGACCATTTATATACTACCCTCCTGTAATTCACAGCAACCCCGTATAGCAGAGCAACCCAGTATGGAAGAACAGCAGATGGTAGGTAGTTCTTTGTTGCACTGATTTGGAAACAGAAACAAAAGATTTAAGCCACCAGTGAGAGGATGTATAATTCGAAGCAATAGAAGCCAAGAGAAGACGACGGAAGACCCCTTTCTGATATTGCTTTTCCTGCGTAGTTATGGGGAATGATCTGAATGCCTTCAAGTAAAATAGCTTAAACTTGCCACTCTGACATAGCTGCTAAGCATCACATTTTCAAAACTATCCCTGATTGATGAAAATAAAATGTATTCAAACTTATGTACATGTTGAGCTACATGCCATCAAAACAGCAGTGAAGTGAAAACTTAGACAAAAGACTAATGCTATAATCCCACAATTTTCAAAACTAATTTCAATGGGGTATTTTAATGTACTAAAAGCCACTGTATTCAAATCTGCGAAGAATTTTAAGATTACAACAGAAATAAAAACTATGGGGGGGAAAGATCTAACAGGTTCTAGTCCTAACTTAATAGCTTTTAAAGTATATCCAGTCAAATACAAAACAGAGTGAAAAATCTTGTGAAAATATTTCTCCACATTAAGAACATGTCTTTTGTAAACAACAATATTCACTGTCTTGTTATTTGCCATCAGGACTTTTAAGAGAAATGAGCTCCTATGTGCCCTCAAAAAGGTTCTTTAACAGATGCTGCTTAAAAGATATCCTTGTCTCACCCTTCTTGTTGCCAAAACACTTGGAAAAACATACTGTTCTCACAGCACTTTGAACCAGGGTTCTTTAAAAAGGACTAAGGTATTCCACCTGCACATGAATTCTTTTTAAAACATTTAAATAATTTTGAAAGAAAGATCAGAGAAAGAAATTAGAAAATCTTGAGGCAATCAGAATTTTCCTCCAAAATCTGGACAGTTAAAACAGTGCTGTTTCTGAAAAAAGTTAAATATTCTCTTTGCTTTCTTTTGGGGTTTTCTGAGCAAGGTCTTCTTCCTATGTAACTCAGTCTGCCTTGAACTCAAAATCCTCCTGCCTATGCCTCCGACATGCTAGGATTACACCCATCCGGCTTTGCTTCCAATTGTACTGCACATTTCCCTTACTCAACAGTGCTCTACTAGGAAATTCAGCTCAATCTATTTGGGACCAGTGTATTCACTTCCAAACTTGCATTCTTTTCTGCATCCCTCTCTCTCTTATCAATATTGAGAAGTTACCTAAAAACCTGAAAAGAATGAACCCTCTAAAAAGAGAAGTCATCCCAATATCATAATTTAAGCAATACTTTATTTTCTCACCAACAATCAAGTCTTTATCTCAAGCACATTACTGTCTACAAATATATTTTCTAGCTGATATTTTTTTAAATCTTAAAACTATGGCATACTTTTACAAGGATATCAAATTCACCATGAAAACAAATTAAGATTTTTAGCTAATTCGATGTGCTACTATTAAAAGTGTTAAAAAGCACTTTGAGTTTTTCAGTGTGATTATCACTTATCTGAATATATGTGTCAAATGGCTTTGTTTAATCTATTACTTTGAGGTTTAGAGAATCACTTGAGAATCTTTTCAAAGTTAAGATATTTTTTAACACTATATATCATACACCATAGTTATTTTATTAAGGAATTTAGGAAATTTAAAAATTTTGTATATAGTAACCAACTAAAGTTTGCTAATGACCTATGTCATCAAATGAAGTTATCAAAAATAAGAGAAACTCTAAATTGATCAACATTATTAGGAAAAATAATTTTTACTCTTCAAATTTAGATAAATGCAGTCAGGTCACTGGTAGCTCACACCTATAATCCTAGCTAATCAGGAGGCTGAGATCTGAGGATAGCAGTTCAAACCCAGCCCAGGTAGCAAAATCCACGAGACTCTTATCTCCAATTAAACACCAAAAAGCCAAAAGTGTAGTTGTGGCTCAAGTAGTAGAGTGCTGGCCTTGAGCACAATGCCCAAGCCCTGAGTTCAAACCTCAGGACCAAAAGAGAGAGAGATAGAAAAAGAGAGAAAGAAAAAGAGGGGGGTAGGGAGAGGGGGGGCAATTATAAAGGCTATTATATAGTTGATTTTGAATATATTGTATGCATTCATGTGTGTACCAACATAAACATTTATGTATGTAGTTATATTTATAAAGTGTTACAGTATACCAGTTTAAATATTTATACAAAATCAAATGCTAGGAAAACAGAATTAAATACAATATCTTATTCACAGATTTTTGTGACAGCTTTGAAATGAGACAATACAGAATTCTCACAGCATTTGTTTTTGAAGTTCTATTTTTCAACATATTTCCTTTAAGTATTACAAGAGAGCCCCCTATTGACCAAAATGTTGGCAATTCAGCAGCAGAAACAGCTAATTATCACCACTTAATACTTCCAACAGGAAGGAAATATGAACAGCTGCACCCAATATAAAATATTTTAGAAGGTTTAAGGGGGAAGATGGGTGTTTTCAGGATGTCTGAAATGTATTCTTCTTTAACTGACCAAGAAAAAGGGAATGCAAACAATGGGATATACATAGTTTATACATCAGTACTTCCTACACATCAGATACTGTACCGAATGTTTTTACACACATTGCCTCATTTAATATAAACATCCTAAACCTTTTGTATATTTGGTGCATGATATTTTTTAGTTTTCTATTCAAACATCTCCTTGTAATAAAAGATGATCTCTGGCAATATTACTGAGAAAGTTCATACCACCATATGATCAATAAAGGTATACTATTCAGAATTTCTTAAATAAGGTAACTTTAATATAAACTTTTTTAACTTGAAAGTTCTAAGATTTTTATTGTTGTTTGCTTGCTTGCTTATCTGTATGGTCTTTTGAGACAAAGTCTTGTTGTATATCTGGCCTTGAACTCATAAATCTGTGCCTCAGCCTCCCAAGTGCTGAGATTACAGGCATATGCCTCTAAGCCTGAAAATTTCTCCTAATATTTCCTGCCAAATTTTCCTCTTTGTTTTCTTAAAAATAGATTTGTTTCTTACCATGGACAGTGATGATCCATTCTCCTCACACAGTGGCCACACCGGCTGCAGTGATGGGAACGCTTTGGTCTCATCAAGTTACACTTGTTACATAACTCCCAGAACTCCCTTTCTAGAAATGAACATGAAAATCCACTTGATAATGGCAAGTGAGCAATGCTGACATTCAGCAACACTAGATCAAGATTTTATAGAATGTATATTTCTAAGAGATTTTTTTCTTCTGATTCTCCAGTGTAAATATCTTAGCCATAAATGTTGCTGTTCTATGTATGTCTACAAGTATACTACAAATAAAAGAAAATAATATATGTGTGTTTCAGACATGTTACTAGAATATAAGTAAAATCTAGTGACAAAAATCCAAGGTATTACACAAAACCAAAATTTTATCTAGACAAGCTTATAGGAATTTTATGATCTGAAAACATTTAGGAAATAATGCTAAGTCCTATTTCAATTAATACATTAAAATAAATTCCTGTAAACTCAATAGGAAAATAGAAATGGAACACACATACACACACACGCACACACACACACACACACACACACCTTTCCCTAAATCATTTCATTTTTTTAATATCAGTGTTCATATGAACATGTTGGAGGTCAGATGGGTTTAGAAGGTATGAGAATGGTTTCACAAGTGAAGAAAATTTGCAAAAGTACTAAATAGTTCTTTTAGTCTGGCTGGTTTTTCCTTCTGATTTTGTTTTTTTGTTTGTTTTGCTTCCTTTGGAACAGAGCTCTCTGTAAACCAAGCTGATCTTGAACTCATCATCTTCTTGCCTTAACCTCTTAAGTGCTAGCATTACAGGTATAGGCCATCATGCCCAGCAACAGAGAGGTTCTCTATACAGCTGTCTCCTGGCACCCAAGTAGCAATTCCCTCTGGTCTAAAGGAAAAGAGTATGCAATTAAATCCAGTGGCAAAAACATGAAGTTTGTGTTAGGAAAAAGTATTTGGTCTTCATTAAAAATTGTTCTAATTATATCTGTAAAACTGATGGAAGTTGTCTTCTAAGACAATAGCTTTATTATATAAAATCTTACATTTATTGAAATGAAATTTTATAAAATTCTTTAGTTTTTCTAGCATTCAATGTTCACACTAAAGCCCATCTGAAGTATGGGCATGACCCATTTAAAGTATGGGCATGGTAAAATACCCTATTTCTCATATTCAAAGTGAGTATTAGTACATGCAGTGTGACCCTAACACACAGCAAGCAGTAGGTAAATACCTGCTGAAGCAGGGAAGGGGAGGGGGAAATCTGGAGAGGGGAAGGGGAAGGGGAGGGGAAGGAAGGAATGTAAAAAAGAAGGTAATAGCAATTGTCTAAAGATTCCTTATTTGAATTGCATTATTTTAGTTTAAAGGCTGGGAATTCTATGCAGTAAGGTTCCAGGAAAAGTCTCTGAAGAAACCAATTAAGTATAAAACTTGTATCAAATAATTTGTTCCATCAATATTAAATGGTTATATTTGCAATATCATCTTAAAAGACGATGTTTCATTTTTTACTTACACTCATTATTTTACTGAAAACACATTGGGTGAGACCAACAAGACTAAAGCTTAAGTACAACTAAACTAATCTGATTTGGAAACATTCCACGTGGAACATACTATATGATCACATACCATTCTTTTCTCCACTTAGCTCAATGCTCCCAAACATCCCAATGCTACAACTTGGAATTCACACACTGCAAGGAATATAGACAGGAAGAAGACTCCACCATAAGCCAATTTTCACCAATAGTCATTACAAAAAATCATGCTTATAATTTGTCCTTTAAAATATGGCAGTTTCACTGTAGTATTTTCTAAGAAATCAACGTAAAATAGTCTAAAGAATAAATGCTTTAGTTCATATCTAAAATGTTGTATCTTCAGAAAATAAAGTATTTGGGTATGGTAAAGGAAAGCCTAGAATTCCATAGTCTAGACCACAGGCTGGCAAACCATAGCATCTGCAAGCATGGCTAGTCCACCACCTGTTTTCATATGACCCATAAGCTAAGAAATGATTTTACAACTTTAATGACTGAAAAATAGTAATTTGTGACATGTAAGCGTCATTCAAATTCCAGTGTTCATGTTGTTTTATTTGCTATATGGCAATTCACATTGTCTATGGCTGCTTTTGTGCAAAGCTGAGTTGTGACAAAAAACCATATGTAAATAAGTTGGAACTATTACTTACTACCAGGCCTTTACAATAAGAGTAATTTTGCTGGTCTATGGTCTGAATCATAAATCTCTTTTTTTAGCTAGCTGGATGAAAACATCAGAAAGAATGATATTGTACCATTTGTAAGGAAATAGAAAGACTTGGAAAACAATTAAGTAAGCCATATCCAGAGAAACATAGGTTGTAAGGTTTCCCTTATTTATGTGCCTATAAATCTGTAAGTAAACACACTGGGTGATATGCAAGGGGTTACACATGAACTAACTGAAGTGTTACAGACTATAGAAAGTGCAATTAGTGTAATTCTTTAAAAAGACCAAGTCAAAGCCCCAGAAAATAAGTACCAGGAAAGGGTACTTGCAAGAGGGGTATGTGGGGACAATGGGAGAAAGGTAGAAGAATGAAGGGGGAAGGGAGGAGAATGAAGGCAAGATTTCATTATACATACACACACATATATATATGCACACACACACACACACACACACACACACACACACCACAGTACTGAGAAATATAAGGGAAGGAATGGGTTAAAGGGAGTGAAGATGTCGAAATGATGACACAGATCAAGATGCACTATACACATAAACTGCTTTGTTAAAAGGCAAGAAAAAATTCAATACACAGCTTAAAATTAAGTAAAGGAAAGGGTGGGTTGGAAGGGATAGTTAGGAATGTTGAGGGGGGGCACTGATCAAGATGCACTGTATTCATACACTGCTTTGGTGAACGGCAACTCCTCTGTACAAATACTGCAAGATAATAAAAATATTCAAAAATATATCTGGAAGCAGGGCTTTAGCTAAACTGAAGACAATACAGATGTATATAAAATGAAAAGAGGGACCGATAAACAGTTTCACATACATGCTTTTAAAAGCATACACAATACCTCCTACATGTTCAGAAAAGAAAAAAAAATCACTATTGTAAAAATCTAGAAATGGGAAGTTGAGCCTTGGCTCAAGTGGTAAAGAGCTAGCCTTGAGTTGAAGAGCTGAGGGGCAGCGCCCAGGCCCAGAGTTCAGGCCCCATGACCGACAAAAAAAAAAAAATCTAGAAATGTACACTGTCTGTGGTGGCTCATGTCTGTTATTATAACTCTATCAGAGGCTGATAAGAGCATGTCTGAGTTCCAGGCCAGCAAGGAGGATGAAAGGAGAAAAACTTGTAAAACTCCATCTCAGTGGAATGAGCTGGACATAGTGGCACACACAACTGTCACCCAGGTACATACTGAAAGAAGTGTAAAACAGGAGGACTGTAGTACAGGTATATGCCTCAACAAAAAGTGAGACCCTATCTCAAACACACACACACACACACACACACACACACACACACACTACACACACACACACACACACAAAACCAGTCTAGCCTATATTCCTTGCTACTAGGAAGGCTGAGATCTGAGAAATGAGGTTCAAAATTAATCCAAGCTGAAAAGTTCATGAGACTCTATCTATAATTAACCAGAAAAATGTCAAACTGGAGGCATGCTCAAGCAAAACAGTGACAACTGTGAGGAAAAAAAACAAACAAACAAAAACAAAAAACACCATGCCAGAGCTAAAAAGGCCTTAGGTTCAAGTTTTGGCACAAACATACAAAAAGAAAAAGAAAAAAACACAATATAAAAAAAAGGAAGGGGGAGTGAAGGTAGTTTTTATCTGGTATAGCAAGGTGGGGAGATCCATGTACCCTGTTTATTAAGAAAGCATTTATAAATCTTATCCTGCTTCAGGGTTTGCTTATATCTAAATAGGATCTTGGTGATGGGTACATTCTGATATCTGCTGAATATCTATGAGATTTTTATACTAGTCATCAAATAGTATAAAATAAAAACCCAAAGGGACAGAATCCAACTGATAATCTATGATGCCTATAAAAAATTAAAAGCTAACAGACACATTTATGAGGAAGAAAACTCAAAGAATAAAGCAGAGAAAAAGATGGTTGAGTTTTTGTTTTGTTGCCGGTCGTGGGGCCTGAAACTCTGGGCCTGGGCACCGTCCCTCAGCTCTTCAGCTCAAGGCTAGCACTCTACCACTTGAGCCACAGCGTGACTTCTGGCTTTTTCTGCTTATGTGGTGCTGAGGAATCAAACCCAGGGCCTCATGAATGCAAGGCAAGCACTCTACCACTGAGCCACCTTCCTACCCTAGTTGAGGATGTTTAATTTTTTGGTGAATAACTAGAAATAAGTCTCATGCAGCCTCCTGCCCAAGGCTGGCTTTGACCCAGTTCTCAGATCTCAGGCTCCAGAATAGCTAGGATTGCAGGCATGAGCCACCAGCACCTAGCTATTTGAGTCTTCTTAAAGACTCATATCTAGCCAGATATAGTGACACACAACACCATCAGGGAGAATAAGGCAGGGGATTATGAATTCAAGCCTAAGCTACATAGTCAGACCTTGTCTCAAAACAAAGCAAATTTTTACTGTATTTTAAATCACACTATAATGTTTTATGGAGAAAAATATTACTTGAAACTACCAAAATTATAGGTAGTTTGGATTCTAATCTAGATTCCCTTACACAAATAGTCTTCAGTGTAGGAAATAAATGTCCATTCTGTTACAGGAAGAAAAAGGAAAAAATGAAGGAACAGAAGACACTGTACTGAAGGAAATATACTCATTACCTGATTCATATAATTGTAATCCCTCTGTGTATCTCTACTATAATAACAATAAAGTAAATTAATTTTTTAAAAAAGAGGAAAGAAATGACAAACTATGAGTAAATAGATGACCTTAACTATTAATAATATGTATTCTCATGGCTTGGTGTGATTTTCTGAGGAATAGCATAAAAACATACTAAATAAAAAGAAAATAACTTGGGGCCAGGCACTGGTGGCTCACACCTATAATCTTAGCTATTCAGGAGGCTGAGATCTGAGAATCTTAGTGCAATTATCAGCCCACGCAGAGAACTCTGTAGGACTCTTATCTCCAGTTAACTACCAGAAAAATGGAAGTGGCACTGGCTCAAGCGGTAGAACGCTTGCCTTGAGCTAAGAGCTCAGGGGCAATGCTGAGGCCCAGAACTCAAGACCCACGACCAACCAAAAAAAAAAAAAAAAAGCTAAGAGCTTTTATCTTATAAAATGTGAAAGTCCTTTTAAATATATCTAAGGTGTTATTTTATATTTGCTATTTCAAGCACGCATGTGAATAATCTGAAAACTACACAATTTTAACAATTTCATCTACATTCAAGTTTTTTTTTGGGGGGGGGGGGGGATCGGTCGTGGGGCTTGAACTCTGGGCTTGGGAACTGTCCCACAGCTCTTCAGCTCAAGGCGAGTGCTCTACCGCTTGAGTCACAGAGCCACTTCCAGTTTACTAGTGGTTTATTGGAGATAAGAGTCTCATGGACTTTCCTTGCCCAGGCTGGCTTTGAACCGTGATCCTCAGATCTCAGCCTCCTGAGTAGCTAGGATTACAGGCATGAGCCACAGACACCTGGCCTATGTTCAAGTTTTTAAAATTAAATTTTAAGAATATATTCACAGGAAAATATAATAGTCCCTGAGGTTCCATTTGCCTTTTATTTAATGGGTCACATGCATATTAAAGTTATTCTTGAAAATAATAATGTAAAATATTTCAGAGTAACTGAATTAAAAAATGGTTGAAATCATAAAAGTACTAGAATTTTAAATATCCTTTCCTGAAGAACGCTTTTCCATTAAACTTCCCAGCTCCAAACATTCCTACGTAAATGCCACTATTCTACACCTTCAACCGTTTAGTCATGCTATATTATTTTTCACTATTAAAATTTTGTAACTTACTAAGTTAAAACCATATTATAAAGAATTGGGTAGCTAGCACCAAAAAGTATGTAATGACTGAAATTGTCCCAGAATCGAAGCAATGAGCTAAAATTATTCATGCATCTACAAATCCATAGTCAAAAGATCATAGAGAAGATCTAGGTTTCAGTAACTCTGCAACATTACAGGTATACAATCTGAGAAAGACCATCTGACTACTGACTACCCAGCCTCAATTAACACAATTATCCTTGATTATCATGAGGATCATGTGATGTGAGCTACCCCAAAGTCTTTAGAAACATAAAATATAATAATTTTTTTTCAATTTGGTAAGAGGGAAGTTTCTTGGATTCAGGGAAGAAAAACACACCAACTGTGAACACAGACAGAGGACATCTAAAAAGTCAGCAAGATGCCACAACATTCTCCCATCCCCCAGCGCTGTATGTTAAATAAACCTCTTTTCTTCCTAAGTGGCCTGCCTCAGATATTCATTATGGTAATACAGCAGGCGCCAGTAGCTTACGTCTATAATCCTAGCCATTCATGAGGCTGAGATCGAGGATCTCGGTTCAAAGCCAGCCGGGCAGGAAAGTCCATGAGACTCTTATTTCCAATAAACCACTCAAAAACCTGAAGTGGAGCTGTGGCTCAACTGATAGAGCGCTCACCTTGTGATGAAGAGCACAGGGACAGTGCCCAAGCCAAGAGTTCAAGCCCCATGACCGATCAAAAAACAAAAAAATAAGGTATGCTATATCTGGCATGTAACAAAATAACTCATTTTCTTTCCTTTTATCTTTTTTCTTTCTTGGTAGTACTCACACTTGCTAGGCAATCATTCTAAACTCTTAAGTCATCCTCATCATTAATTTTTGTATTTGAAGAATTACTATACAATGACTAAAAAATGTCTTCAAGTGATACCAAAATAAAAAAATTTCAAATTTTTCACAGAATTACTAGATGTTAGAGAAGATAGTGTCTATACTCCTATATTTACTCCAAACTGTATTTATAATGTCATGAGGGAAGAAGAAAATTTCTTTCATAAATATAGTATTCCTCATATATACACATATATATGTGTGTATATATACACGTATATATATATATATATATATATGTGTGTGTATGTATATATATATGTATATGTATGTGTGTGTGTATATTTTGTTCGTTATTGTTGTTATTGTCAGTCAGGGCTTGGGCCCTGTCCTGAGCTTTTTTTGCTCAAGGCTGGTACTCCACCACTTTGAGTCACAGCTCCACTCCTGGTTTTAGGGAGGTTAATTGGAGGTAAGAGTCTTACAGTCTTTCCTTCCCAGGGTGGCTTTGAACTGCGATCCTCAGATCTCAGCCTCTTGAGTAGCTAGGATTACAGGTATAAGCCATCAGCTTATACCTAAGTGACAAAGACTTCTGGAGACTAAGGAAACAGTATTAAACAAAGAGAAAAAAAAAAAAAAAAAAATCTGTACCATCATATTCAGAGTAAGTGTGAGAGAAAATCATCATAAATGAATAAGCAGAAAAAGTCAAGAAATAAGAGGGAGGTGGTGGGGAGGGCTTATGATTTTAAATAAAGAGAATTCTGTAAAGAAATGTGAGGAAAGACTTAAAAGAGCTACTAAATACACACACACACACACACACACACACACACACACGCACGCACGCACGCACACACGCAAGCACGCGCACACAGACAAACACAGTATATACACCAAAGGAAACAAAAGCATCAATAAAGATGATAGTTCCTACAAAGGAAATTTGATAATTCGAAGCAGTACTATACCTCCATGTGGGATCTTAGGGTTTTCAGGGAGTCGTCCTGGGTCAGTTATTGAGGCCCTCACTAAGGCGACCAGACAAAATATGGAAATGCCATAGAATACTTTAAAATAAATAAATTAAATGAGTTAGTCATTTATCCTTTAAAAGATATTACTAAGAATCACATTTAAAGTTTAAAATGCACATTTTATTCCTTTTTTCTTCTTTTTTTTTTTTTTTAACCAGTCCTGGGGCTTGAACTCAGAGCCTGGACGATATAACTTTCTTTTTTTCTTTTTTTTTTGGGTCCGGTCGTGGGGCCTGGGCACTGTCCCTCAGCTCTTCAGCTCAAGGCTAGCGCTCTACCACTTGAGCCACAGCGCCACTTACGGCTTTTTTTCTTTTTGCTTATATGGTGCTGAGGAATCGAACCCAGGGCCTCAGGCATGCAAGGCAAGCGCTCTACACTGAGCCACCTTCCCAGCCCCGATATAACTTTTTTTGCTATTTGCTCAAGGATAGTGCTATACCACATGAGACATCCCTCCATTTCTAGATTTTTAGGGGTTAATTGGAGATAAGAATCTCACAGACAATCCTGCCCCAGATGGCTTCAAACCATGATCCTCAGATCTCAGCCTCCTAAGCAACCAGGATTATAGGTGTGAGCCACCAGCCTGGCTAAAACACATATTTTAATTAATATCAGGAAAAAATTTTCAAAAGATGAGATGGAAAAACTATGTGACTAACTCCTTTCACTTACCTAACACTGATAAGAAGTCTGTTAGGAGATGTATCTATTTAAAACATTACTTTACATTATAATGGATATTTATGCTACAAATCAGATTCTTTCACAACCGTTCCAAATAAACAATGGCATAAATTAATGGATTTCCTTTTTGAGTAAAAAGTATGAGAACTGTAATTACTATAGACATATAAAATATATCAATTTGGGCTCCTCTTTAAATCATTAGGAAATCATCAACAATGAACTACAGAAGATTATCTTAAGTTCAAAATGCTCTCATAATCAACAATTTTTTAATGGAATTTTATCTCTCAACACATACCATCTTCTTAAAACTTTCACATTAAGCCAGGCACAGTGGCACACACTGGTAATTCCATAGTACTCAGGAGGCAAAAACAGAAGATTACAAGTAGGGGACAGCATACAAGTAGGGGCCAGCCTACAGAGTGAAACTCTTTGTCAAAATATCAGCCAAAAAAATAGCTTTCATATTTGCAAAAATAAAAACAGAAATATTAAAATGTACATAGACACATACCATTGGTACTGATAAGTTTTTATAAATAATCTTTATATTTTTCAGAGCTAGACAGATATGGAGGTAGCATTTTTATCTAACGGAAAATATATTACAAGTAGTGTTTTTCAACTTCCATAGTATAGTCAGTAATATTAATATTACTAAAATAACATTCTAAAACATAAGCATGGTGCATTATATTTCAAATACATTCACAATGAGAAAAAGTGTTTAATTATACAAGGAAATAAATAAAGACTTAGAAACTTACTTATTATTAATATGCCTGGAATATGTCCTTCTTCATAGTGAGGAAAGAGAACAATTTTGGGAATTAAAACAATATTGTATAACCAGACAAAGACAATCAAAGCCATGCAGCACCAACCATGTGGGTCAACAACAAAGTGAATCCGGAGACCCATTTTGCAGTCCTACAACTGCTTGCCAACCCACAAGGAAGACAATCCTAAAAAGGAAAAAAAGAAAAAGTTACTAACAGAAAAGAAGTAATGGATTAAAAATTACATTTATAGAAACTCCAAAATAATATTTACTAAGTTTCTTGACAAATTTCTTTTTTAAAAAACAGAAATTTTGGGACATTTAAATTTCACCAAATGCTTCAATAATTTAATTTCAATTATTACTGCTATTAAGAGTGCATGCTGACAATTTCTTAAGTTAAAACACATTTGTCCTAAACCAGCAATTGCACATCTAAACCCAAGAGAAATGAGTGGATATGTCAGCAAAAAACATGTATAAAAATGTTTAGTAACTAACCGTAAGACTAGCTGATGGTCACACAAGTTAAAATTGTGGCTATTTGGGGGTAGAAAGAGTGTATTAACTAGAAAGGAACTTTAGACAAACCCTGAGAAGCTAAAAATGTTCTGTATCATGACCTTGGTAGAACTTTGTTGGCGTGTGTGTGTGTGTGTGTGTACACATATATATGTACATTAAAGATAAGAGTCTTATGGTCTTTGTATGTGTGTGTATATATGTATATATGCACACATATATATACACATATATATATACACACACATATACATGTAAACTAACTAAGCTGTGCAATTGAGACTTGCACACTTCAAGTTGTAAATCACAACATTTTAAAATTTTGGTGAAAATTTAAAATTACAATTGCTAAGAATACTAAAGTCTCATTACAATGTCCTGAAGAAGCTTCCACTTAAAATGGGGATTCATTTTCAGTTAAGTGTTAACAATCCACCAACAGATCTTCAAATGAGACACAGTCTCTAAGTGAGTTAAGATACTTCAATACATATGATATTGATATAGTGACTGAAAATATATCCATATGTTGAAAAATACAACCTACAAAAGCTTAAACAATAAATTACTATTTAAGGTCTAACATAAAATATAATGTTATAATAAATTTGGACAATGGTTCTCCAGAATCAACTAGGGAGCTTTAAAAAAAAAAAAAAGCAAATATTAAAAAAAAAAAAACCATAATTCCAGACTACATTCCAAATCTACTGAATCTTAAGTCTTCATAAAACTTGAAAATCAGTAAGATACTCTCCAGAAGTCTGATACAGCTGAATATTATCTAAGAACTACTAAGCTACTGAACTTCACTCGAACATCAGTGTTACAGCCATGAGTTGAACTTCCCCAGTTCAACTAGATTTCATTGAGTCTCCAGTATCTACTAGTCATTTGTAAGACACTGAAGATACAGCTCTAAGTAAAACACAGACTTGTTTAATGAACTAACAAGCTAATGGGGAAAAGAGTCATAGAAAAGGTTTAGTATTATATGCTAAAATCCAGATTTGTGGGCAAGTTGCCAGTATGAGCATAGGCGATAGAGACTAGTTAAATCAGCTTCAAGCAAGACTTCCTATAATAGGTGAAAACTGACCTCAATCATAAAAGTTAATCAAGCAAAGTGATAATAGTGCACACAGAAGGAAGAGCAGGAGATATATAAAAGGTGATGTTACAAACTACCATCACAAATCACCTAGCTTTCTGTGGACAGTAACTTGGAGAATATAAAGGGTTATAACATGAAGGACACAAAGATACCATTTAGCATGGTAAGACTTCATTCCGAGGCATGAGAAAGCTATGGGTGGGGGGAGGGCTAACATGAAAAAAATCTGTGCTTCAAACAAATTACTGAGGCTCTGGAATGGAAAATAAAACTAAAGACAGGATAACTTAGGCTAAGAGAAGACAAAGACCAAATCTAGTTTTAGAGCAGGGACTAGTTGAAGAAACTGTTAGAATCACATCAATGAGTCTCACTAATCGATCTGGTATCAGGTAATACTGCAGAGTCAAGAATGATTCCCAGAATTCCAACTTACATTCCTATTTCATTCTAAAAATAATTTTTCTTCAATTGAAGAGACTCCAGGTACCACCCCTTCGAGGCCTTGAAAATGTTCATTAAAACCCTAAGTTACTGAAACAAAGGAAGGTTAATTTTAAAGGTCTAATCCTCCTCCTCATACCTAGATACTAACAAATTACTAGGGAACAGAAAAGGAACAGAGAGAGAAAGAGAGAATGAATTCAAATGAATGGAAAGATTTAAATCAGGTGTAGTACAAATTAGTGTTTGCATATGAGTTCTAAAGAATGATGCCTAGGCCTTTTTTTAAAAAAAAAAAGTAAAAGTTGAATATTGTTCCCTTTTAATTAGGAAATCAGAAGACAGATCAGTACGGTTACAGTGAGCAGTGAGAGGGAATAAAGCATACTATGTAATTTGTTAGGCATCGCTCTTTTAAAACTAAAGGAACATTCCAACAAATGTGATTTTTTTCTTGGTCTTTTTGTTGTTTGTTTTTTAATACAAGGTCTCATTATGTCACCTATGTTGGCCTTGATCCTCCTGCCTCAGCCTCCTCAGTGCTATCACACACATAGTAAGGTCAATTTTTGTTCATCAACTGTCAAATGCTTTAAAAAACAAAGTGACAGGCTCTGTCTCTCAACATGCTCAGTATTACTAACTTCATATACATTTAAGTTTCAATGCCACTCAGGACTCAAAATCAGAATGTAAACTTCAATAATTATATAAGAGAGGAGAATTTTATTATTCATTTCTAACTTTATTAATATTAGAAAGAAAAAATATATTCAAGCCAATGAAATGAGGAAAACTACCAAACACTCATTCATTTTTTAAAATCTGTTTTCCCCCCTCTAGCAGAAAATAACAAAGATCTCTCACAAAAGAATACATAGTAACAAATATCCTGAAATTGCTCTTTTTTTTTCTTGTACAGATGATAAGCTCTAAAAGAACAACTGTCCCCAAGGGAAAAATGAACATTTTTTTCCACAGACACAAAAAACTGAACAAAGAACAAGAAAGATATTAAATATTTAAAATACCTGATTAGTAAAATTAGTGTCGTATAATCCTCACAATAGGGTTGTACAGAGTAAACCAATGGTCTTCTAGGAGCTCCAAATCAGATAACAACCACAATCCCGTAACTGGAAGATGTGGCTGGATCACTCCATCTATCAGGTGTGGCTTATTGCTGCCCAGAAACTATTACACATCCTGAGCAACAACTGACAGATCACAGAGCTGCTACTCTGGCTGAGGGGATGCATTTGTGAAATCTCTAGCTAATGAAAGTTGTACAACATACTAATTTGGATATTAAATGGTGAGCTCGGTTCTCAAACTTTGATGTCACTACTGGATAGACTGGTACTTCCACATTTTTTTATGATTGCTATCTGGCACTATACTTGAAGGCAGTGACGAACCTCATAAGTATGTAAATTACTACAGCACAAACTATTTTTAAATAAATTATAATTCAAGTCTAGTAAAAGTAAATATTGAGTAAATATTTATGAGGCTTGAATTAATGGGACATAACCTTTACTTTTCTTCAGGCAATTGTATTTCAGTGCATATTTCTTCAGGAAGAAAACACCAAAGCCAGGTGTTGGTAGCTCATTCCTAGCTACTCAGAAGGCTGAGATCTGTGGATTGCAGTTCAAATCCAGCCGAGGCAGGAAAGTCCATGAGACTCTTATCTCCAACTAACCACCAGAAAACTGGAAATGGAGCTTGGCTCAAAGTGGCAGAGAGCTAGCATTGACCACAAAAGCTCAGAGACAGCACTCCGGCCCTGAGTTCAAAACCCCGCAACCACCTCCAACAATAACAACAAAAAAAAAAGGAAACAATCAAAGGCCACTGTATGATAAGAAAACCAACATTGTAAGGTAAGTTTTAGACAACCATAAAGATCAGTCAAAGGACTTAAAAAGAAATCTAGTCAAACATTTATCTCTAAATGAAATCTCTATATGAAATTTATAAGCCAGGAGCCAGTGGCTTCTGACCTATAATCCCAACTATGCAGAATGCTGAGATTTGAGGACTGTAGTTTGAAGTCAGGCTGGCAAGAAAGTCTATGAGACTCTTTAACTCCAATTAACCAGCAAAAAGCCAGAAATGGAGCTGTAGCTCAACTGATAGAGTACTAGCAGTGAACAAAAAGAGTTTCAAGGACAGCACCCCAGGCTCTGAGTTCAAGCACTAGGACTAGCACAAAAAAAAAAAATAAAAATTAACTTATAATTCAAAGTCAATATGTATCTCAATCTCCATATGAGTGTGTGTGTGTACGCACACGTGCGCATGACACATGCGTGTGTGTTACTAGGGTTCAAATTCAGGGCTTCATGCTTGCTAGGCAGGAGGCAGGTACTCTATAACTTCAGCCACACCTCCAGCCCTTCCAGATTTAAATTCTTTCAGACACCTAAATTCATAGTGACTTCTTTTTCTCTTTTAAATTTTAGTAAAGAGCAAAAATACTGTAAAAACGAAAAATACCAAGTGTTTTTAAGAGCCTAAAATAAGAGGACAGCAAGCCGGGCACCAGTGGCTCACACCTGTAATACTAGCTACTCAGAAAGTTGAGGATCTGAGGATCGCATTCAAAGCCAGCCCGGGCAGGAAAAGCCTGTAAGACTCTTATCTCCAATAAACCACCAGAAAACTGGAAGTGGCACTGTGGCTCAAGTGGTAGAACGCTTGCCTTGAGCTGAAGAGCTGAGGGACAGTGCTCAGGCCCAGAGTTCAAGCCCCACAACCTACCAAAAAAAAAGAGGACAGCATTCACAACTAAGACACACCACACAAATTTGAATGTTTGAGCCCAAAATACAACAAAAGCAAAATTAAAAGAAAAGCAATTGTTGGAAAAAATGTAATAATATAATTGATAAAATGTAAAGTATATATATGAAAAAAATTAAATGCAATGGTTAAACATTACTGATTAGAAAAATATGAAATAACTAGGTTTTTCATCTATTCTCCAAAAAAACGTTAGAAAGACAGATGATATCCAATGTTGGAAAGTCACAGAAAGAACACTCTCATATATTACTGACATTCATGTAAACTGATGTAATCATCTTTGGAAGGTAATTAGACAAAATGTCTCTATCAAACTATAAAACATTTTACCAAAGTATTAGTGTTAAAAATAACTACAAAAGTACTCATAGAGTATACAAGCATATATACATATACAAGGATATACAAGGATACAGTACATCTTATAATCATAAAAATATGGTACAACCTATTTGTTCATGTAGAAAGGGGAATGGCAAAATAACTTACAATACATCCATAGTGCAGACTATTTCCAAGCTACTGCAATATGTGGGAGAGGAAAGGTCTAGATATACCTATGACTATCTATAATATAACCCTAAATGAAGGAAGTTACACAGGCAAAGGGGAAATCTATAACGGAAATCTGTAACTATTTCTAGAGGGAGATTATCTAAGAAGAAACATTAAGGGAACTTTCTGTGGTGAAAATAAAGGGCCATATATTTAGAGTTTGAGTACTCAAACTCTAAAAATTCAGCAAATGTACACTTAAGGTTGATACATTTCTTGGTATGTAAATTAACACAAAAAAGCATGCAAATCAACATTGAACTACAGTTAATAATATGGATACCCAAGTACAGTTAAAGGGAGTGTACTGAGATCTACAATTTGCTTTGAAATAGATCCAATTCCTGATGGGTAGACATGGACAGATGAGTATATGATGCAGTTAGTTATAGAATCTAAGTAATGACCATTCAGATGCTGCACTACAAAAATTACTTCCAAAGCCAAGCACTGGTAGCTCACACCTCAGGAGGCTGAGCTCTGAGGATCATGGTTCAAAGCCAGCCTGGGCAAGAAAGTCCGTAAGATCCTTATCTCCAATAAACCACCGGAAAACCAGAAGTGGCGCTGTGGCTCAAGTGGAAGAGTGCTAGCTTTGAGCACAAAGAGGCTCAAGGACAATGCCTAGGCCCTGAGTTCAAGCCCAAAAACCAACACTCCCACTCTCCCCCGCCACAAAAAAAAATTTCCATGCTTCTGAATGAATTCTTTCAAAGTTAAATGTTAGAGAAAGCAAGTTGGAGTACAGTTTATATAATTTTTTGTTAGAAAATACATGTAAGTAATTTTACATGTAGTATAGTGGAAAAAAAGAAAATACAGGAACCAAATTGTCAGTAATTATCACTGAGCTTCTGGAAGAAAGCAGTGAGGAAGAAGGCTTTATGTAGATATTTGTGCTCTTCAAAGTTTATCAGTAAACATGCATAATTCTACATTTTTTTTGCAATCAACTAAAACTAGAAATAGCCAATTGGACACAAATAATCCCTGACCAACAAAACATTTAATCTGAGCCTTGCTTTATCACTTAATGCTTAAAATGCAGGGCAGAAAGATCTGCTATAAAACCATATAGTTTAGAAAAATGTTTGTAAGACTTCTATTACTTACAGATTATTTCCTCTATGGAAAAAGTACTTAAGAAAATCAGCTTAATTAAAATTTACTATGAACATTTTTAAATAAGCAAGTTAATTATAGTTGCTAATAAACAATTACATGCATCTAAACATTAGACTCCAAGGACGCTATTGCACATACATCAGAAACATATTCCCAAATAAAATCAAATGCAAACTTACCACTTGCAAATTCACTGAGATATGTTGTGATTTTTCTGGAACTTGCATTTAGAAGTTTTATCTTGATTCATTTTTTTATTACATTCCACCAAATAGACTTCTCTTCAACAACAGTTCTCCATGAGAATCTATTAATGGTTTAACAAATAATGATCTCTCAACAAAGGTAAAAATTGTAAGCAACCAAAAATTCTATGAAAATACCAATTATGAAAGTTTTAAATTCTGAATTAAGAAAAGATGACTCAATTCTACTAATTCCTTGCTTTTATATTCCTTCTAATCCCCCCTCAAAATTTGCATTTGATTAGCACCATATATGTAAATTCACTTTTAAGATCACTAACTCCAAGCCAGTCACCCATGGCTCACTCCTATAATCCTCGCTATTACTTAGAAAGCTGAGACCTGAAGATCATAGCTCAAAGACAGGCCAGGCAGGAAAGTCCATAGGACTCCCCTCTCCAAACACAAGAAAACCAGAAGTAGCACTGTGGCTCAAGTGGTAGAGCATTAGTCTTGAGCTGAAGAGCTCAGTGTCAGATGGTATACAGGCCCAGAGTTCAAGCCCCACGACCCACCAAAAATAAAAAATAAAAAATCACTAACTCCTATAAAATCAAATATGCATTTTTCCCAGTGTTTGGATGTCACTAAATTTGCAGGAATAAATCAGAAAATAACAATCAATTCTGAGATCATTCTGTAAAGAATGAATATAGTTCCCATCCTATACTAGAAGTATCCAATCACAATTCATATAGAATGAAGAGTTTAAAATAAAACTTTTTGCTCCTGATGTATGAAGACAAACTTGTGCTCTTGAAGCCAGGTGCCAGTGGCTCACACTTATAATTTTAACTATTCAGGAAGCTGAGATTTGGAAGATACCAGACAGAAAAAGTCCACAAGACTCCATCTCCAAAATAACCAGCGAAAAGCTGAACTGGAGGCATGACTCAAACACATAAGCTAAGCAAACTCAAGATACTGAATTCAAACTCTGCTACAGGAAGTGCTCCTTCCTTCTTTCTGTACTGAAACTACAAAAGTAAATTTCTACAGTTCAAACTAAAAAAAAATACTAAACAATGTATACCAATTAATATTTTTATTCAACCTATGTGTATCAACTATATACCATTCTTCAGAACATTATCCTCAAAATGGGGACAGATGGTTAAGGAAACAAAATAAATATATGTAAGACAAGGTATGACAGAAGGCAAGAAGGCATCTCACATAGTGCAAACAGCACTACATCAAACTTTTATCAGTTATCTGAATATTTGTATATGTTTACTTCATTGTATTACAACAGACTTCATACAGAAAAGTTATCTTCAGGAAAAGACTCCTAGAAACAATGCAGCTCTGAGTTTGCTAGATAAAATAGAGAGGCTCTTCTGGCCAAGAAAGAACAAATAAAGGTATGAAAGTAGGCAAAAAAAAAAAAAAAAAAAAAAAGTAAACAGAAATGACTAAAATCATGAGTATAAAATCAATTCTAAGAAATAAATTTTACAAAATACACAAAGTAACATGAAAGTAAGTAAAAACTACATATGATACTCTCTGGTATTGATATTTTACTTATTCTATTTTACTTTAATAAAAATTTTTAACACTGGTCACAGCCGTCTAAATTTGAGCTCCAGTTGCTCAGGTAGAGTGAGCACAGGACTGAAAAAAACACTGAAGTTATGTCAGTGAATTTATACCTCATCCTAACATAACAGAAAATTGTTGAAAATACCAATGGATTCGGGGGATCAAATTTCCACTTGGAGAAGAATGGCAACAAACTGAAGGCTGGATTTGGGTAGATGCATAAAGAACTGGGATGAACTATATGCAACAAACAAGCTAGCTAAGGAAATGCTGAGTAGCAAGCAGCCTGAAACTTGAGAAACTTTAAAGGAGGATGGAAGGGGTGCACTGCAGAAAGTGACAGTTAAAGTACAAGGTCTAAAAAAAGGCTGATCCAGGAGAATTTAATGAATAAACCCAATAGGGCCCAGTGGTTAATTTAGAGGCAAAGGTGGTTTAGAGGCAAGGGTGGTTAATTCAGAGGCCAGGGCCTCCTAGATAGCTCCCAAGTTTTTGGCTAAGTGAAGGATGGAAAGAAAAGTTACAAATGTGTTAAGCATACTGCTTTGCACTGTGGCAGCAGTGCACATCCACAAAAATGGGGATATGAAAAATATATCGGTCATTTCTATGCCTCTTAATAAATTCAAGGAAATAAAACAACAATAACAAAAGTATCGCATTGTATATATAAACTGCTTTGTTAAATGGGAAAAATATCCTACAAAATTAAGAAAGGGTGGTTGGGAGGAGGGTGAGAATGTCGAAAGGATGACACTGACCAAGAGGCCCCATCTTCACAAAGCACTTTGTTGAATGGCAACACGTCTGCACTACTACGTAAAGATAATAAAATTCTTTTTTTGTTTTAAGTACTGCCTATATTGTATCGCAGGGTCAATATTTTCTATGGTCCATGATACACTGTCAAATGTCATTTCTTTCTTTTTGGGGGGGTGGGGAGGTCCGGTGGTGGGGCCTGAACTCTGGGCCTGGGCGCTGTCCCTCAGCTCTTCAGCTCAAGGCTAGCGCTCTACCACTTGAGCCACAGCACCACTTCCGACTTCTTTCTTTTTGCTTATGTGGTGCTGAGGAATTGAACCCAGGGTCTCATGCATGCAAGGCAAGTATTCTTACCACTGAGCCACCTTCCCAGCCCAAATGTCATTTCTTTCTACTCTAACTTTTTAGCATTCCCTAAAGTGGTCTCCTTGATTGTAGAGACCCTCATAAGGACAAAATATGGCATACCAAAGTTAAGGAACTGCTATTCTAATAGTGAATGAATTCTTTTTCCAGATGAAAATTTGAAAGACCTAAGGTTTTGAAATCTACCCCAAAGTCAACAATGCTACTCAGGTCATGACTCTAGAGTGGCTTCCTATGTATTCCAGCAAAACAGCAGTTCATGACAGCAGCATTATTAGGTATGTTAAACACAGGCCAATTGTCCATGAATCAAAACCAATCACTCACTGGCTTAAAAATCAAGAAAAATCTAACTTTACTAATCCATAGCTAATAAAAATATAACTAATATGTCTAGTGGCTAATAGAAATATTAGCACAAAATATTGATAACATGATTAACATTTCAGGTACTGAAACTACTATAGCCAATATGGAATCAAATCTTATCTATGTGGTATAAAAGCAATGGTGGGTCCCACAATCTGATAGAGGATAACAATACCCCAAAGTACCAGAACTAACAAATGCCTCTAAAACATTTTTTAGGCTGGGAAGGTGGCTCAGTGGTAGAGCGCTTGCATTGCATGCACGAGGCCCTGGGTTCGATTCCTCAGCACCACATAAGGAAAAAGCCAGAAGTGGCGTTGTGGTTCAAGTGGTAGAGCGCTAGCCTTGAGCTGAAGAGCTAAGGGAGTTCAGGCCCCACGACCAACCCCTCCCCCCAAAAAAATTTTTTTTAACATTGCTAAGTCTGAAAGAATACAATCAACAATTCATAGGGTGAATTTTCAAACAACCACAAAAAACTCTTAGGAAGCAAGAGAAAAATGGATACTATATTAGATGACTATATAAAATTCAAAGTACTTTAAATTTAGGAAATATAAAGTTATAGTTTTATGGAATTAAAACATACTAATAAAGCTATTTGACTTTTGATTTAATTTGACTCTGAGAATTGATTAATCATGAGTTAATGCTATGTCTTGGCCACCTATAATTAGCAATGAGGGAAAGAGGGAACAGTTAACATAACATTGTACATATTACCCAATGCAGAAAACATAGTTGTACTGTCAAAGCTTATAGAATTCACAAACTTTCAAAACCAAAATAATGACAATTTGCCTTGTGAAGGTTAAAATGTGTTTGTGTCTTTTAAGTATTACTATCCTACAATACTGTGAAATTTATGTAATCAATCTCAATAAAAATATTTTTTAAAAGTACCACACAGGTATTCAATTATCAACAGTGTAGAAAATAAATCTTTTTTATTTTTAATAAGTTTTTTATTATGAAAATACTGTACAGTGGGGTTACAGTTACATGAGCAAGGTAATGAGTACATTGTTGCCTCCTCCTTTGTTTTCCCCTACCATGACTTCCCTCCCATCTCCACAACTACACTCCCCCATTACCCCCACCAACCTAAATAGTAAAATTTGTTTTTCAACATAGTGTCTTGTACATCTGATTGTTACAATGGGTCAACCTGTATCCCTATTTAAACATTTTGTTTTTAGAAAATAAATCTTATACAGCTGCTAAAAATAGAAAGCCATGTTCATACTGTGACACAGCTTCCCCTTGCTTGTTCAAGATTTGACTATCTGCAGTCAACATATAGGTTACTGCCATGCTTAAATGAGAAGTTGCCTAGCAAGGAAACAGCATCCCCAAAATAGCAACTTTAAAGGGAAGTGGGGTTGAGGAGAAGAAAAGAAACTTGAAGACTGGGTTTGCTTTTAGCTTTAATCTCCCAAATGAAAGTGTTTCTAGGTCACATCATTAGCAGTAGTGATACAACTTAACATATTCCACTGTTTTCTCTAACACATGAGGTTCTAAACTGCTAGTGAGAAACAATGTCATATACTACAGCCTTTCAGCTAGTTTTACACTATAAGCACTAGGTAAGTTGTATTTCTACACCTTACTCTTGGGTGCCTTCATGAAGGAACAAAAAAAGGAGAAAGGTTAGAGCTAAAATAAAGTGACTAAACTAAAGCTCCTACTCTAAATCTCTTTCAAATACAAACAAGATGGTCTGCTAAGAAATGAAGTGTAGGTGAAAATCAGCACTTGTTTCAGAGGCTAATGAAGAATGTATAATTAAAGCAGGGAATAATCAACCAAGAGTTGATTATTATTTCTCCAAGAAATTTTTGTAAAAATAAGGGTGGGGCAAAGTATCAAACTACAACCTTCCATCATCATTAGTTTCAAGAATTAAGTCAAAAGAACAACTCTCTTAAGTCACTGCACTAAACCAACACTGAAGTTTGCTCTTCTGGACACCTACCTCAAGGGTAACAGGTATAATACTGGACCTCTTTTAACAATCCTGCACCATAGTGAAAAGCTTCAGAAGAATCTCCTACAAGTTTGGAAATATCCATTCAACTGGCAAATATTATTTCAGTCAACACAAATAGTTTATCTGTTAATTTTTCTTTAGGGAGGTAGAAACAAAGGAAAAAGACCAAAAAGAGAGAAAGAGTAAATGTAGCATTAGCAACAAGCAACAAGGATAACCTCTGCTCAAAAAAAAAAAAAGGAAACAGAAAACACACACACACACACACACACACACACACACACACACACACACACACACACACACACACACACACGGGAACCCTTTCAGATAGGGTAAAAGGGAATATTTTTACTGGATTTAAAAAGCAATATTCATGTAAAAGGGAAGGTGAGTAGCTACTATTGTACTACTACCTCCTGTACCAAGACAGACTAAGAAAAGAAAAAGGGGTTGAATTAGATTGCTTTTACAACAAAATTTACCAAGGAAATTATGGCAAAGAACCTAGGTTCCAGGACTTCCTAGAATACTAACATTAAAGAAAAATCTCCCTTCACCCTGGTAAAAACCCTGAAGTATATGATAAAGTTATTTATTCTATAATTATAGGTTAAAAAAATAAAACTAAAAGTTCTGTGGAGATCATATGAGCATTTTAAGTTAAAATGAAAAGCAATTAGTGAATAGTAACATACTAATTAAAACATACTAGCCTGCCCTGCTATGAAAGGGGAGACAGATTGGTGGAGAGAGAAGATACCTTATTCAGCCTCTGAAATTGGGAAGAAGGTTAATCTACTTTGAGAATAGTACAAGAAAAAAGTAAAAGACAAACTTTCAAGATGTCACATCTTCCCTAAGGGTACATCCAAAAAAAGAGAAACAAATCAAACCAACCACCATTTGAAATCTAGTAGGTGCTTACTAGTGTCTATGAAAACATGTTTCTTCAGCTAGCTGATTCAAATCACTATTCTGGCTATGTAAGAAACCAGTGTTGGCAGGCATGGTGGTGCCTATCTGTACTACCAGCACTTGGGAGGCTGATGCAGGAGGATCAAGAGAGGGAAAGGAGGAAAAATGAGGGAGAAAAAATAGTTGGGGTTTTTCCATTTATTCTTTTCATTTTTTACTTTATATATCCTAAGCAAACACTCTACCACTAAGCTATACCCACAGTCCCTCACCTGTATTTTTTATTTTTTCAAAAATACTTGAATCATTTTCAACTTCTGTAGGAGACATTTATGCACTGATTATTCTACCACATGTGAAATAGCCTTTTATTTGAAAAACTGCATCTTTCCTCTATCTTACCTGTTTTGCAGGTAGTACTACTACTCACACCCCAACTGTGTAGCTTCCTTGGCTGAGATTTTTCATTGACTCACTGTTAATTAGGATTCTAGAAGAGAACTCTATGGAGTCATTACTAGATTTCTCAATCGTTTCTTCCCTAATCTATGGCATTGTGTTTTCATTTGCCTTCCCACAGGTTCTGAATCACCACTTTGAATGAAATCATGCAGTAGGCAAACAAGAAGAACACATGATTTGCTGATTATTTCGTCTAGAATTTGTTAAGCTGATGTGTGTACATTTTAAGTGTTTTTGCTTTTTATTTTTTGTTTATTCTTATTTCTTTTATTAAGCAAAGCATCCCAACTGTGGGTAAACACAATCCTCTTCATTATCTTAAAATATTCTGTTTTAACTTCAGCTTCTAACGTACACTAAGTTGAACAGAAATGTCAAGAACTGGAAAATGTCTAATTGTTTTTCATCCAAAATGATGAATTGCGGTTCATCTGTGCTGGTACTGCATCAATATTTTACTGACTTCTCATAAGGCAAATGGTTTAAATGTATTTTCAATATGTTGAAGGGCTTATCTACAAACACAACATTTGCCAAAGAAATATACAAAAGCTAAAAGAAAAAACTATCTTCAAGGAGCCTACTAGTCATCAAGAACTTAGCCTACCTGTCATTCCACTACTTGTGAAGGCCAAGACAGGAAGATGGAGAATTCCCTGCCAGCCTGAGACACAGCAAAACCCTATCTCCACAATAGTTGTTTAGTCTAGTAGTATGGATTAGAAAACAAACTGGGTCACTGACCTACCAAGACTCCACAGCTGGAAAGTGACAGAAATGGGACCATAAGCTTTTTTATCCTTTCCACAATACCATTTGAGTCTTTCGTTCTAATTCATTTCTTAGTCTTTTCTTTTTCAAAACCTACTTTGTTATTAAGAGATAGAACAACTGAGATAAAAATAGAACACTTCCCTGAATATTTAAAATCTAACGAATTTTAAGAACTTAACAACTATATATATATATGTATATATATATATATTTTTTTTTTTTTTGCTACAAAGTAGGTAATTTTTTAGGCGCATTTATTAACATAGTAGGCAGAGGGCCCACGTATCTTTTTAACGTTCTTAATTATCCTTACTTTATTATTGTAGACTGTAACTTTACACCATGATTTATGACCCACCCACAATGACCTTGATATTTTTTTTTCTTCCATACGTGTATGGACTGCTATACTTTCCAGATAATGCACTATTTTCAGGTCATAACTGGCCGGGTCCTCTTAGCCCTGGAGATGCCAACACCCACCCCTCCACTGACTCACCCAGGACCTTAAAATGTGACCCACATCCCATAGCTGGAGAAAGACCATGATTTAAATGGCCTCTCCAGGCAAGATTCCGGCGACCTATGTATGATGCGAATGGCTAACACGTAAGCCATTTTCTCGAAACCACCCTTGCAGGTGAGGAAGAGAGGGGAGGAGGAAGGTCGATCCAAGGAGCCAAGTATGCCTCCTGTCTGCCAGTCCCGCCCAGGCTCACCTCTCACCCCCCACCACCTTATGAATGCAAGGCTCCCTCGCCACCCGGGAGCCCCGGCCCGGAGCAAGGCGCGGGCCTCCGGGAAGGGGGTGCACACTACATTTGTCAGATGAGACACTCCGAGCCTGGAATATTCTCTCCCCGTCCCTCTCCCTCCCCCCGCTTTGTGAGTACCTTAAATCATGTGGACCAGAGCAGAAACCCCACCCACCCGGCGGCCGGGCCGGGAGGGGCGCGGGCTGCGATGCTGAGCGCGCACAGGCCCGGGGCGGAGGGCGACGGGGAGCGGGGGAGGGGGAGGGCCGTGGCGTAGCAGGTGCAGGGGGAGGGTCGGGGTCCGAGGAGGACAGCGGGAGGAAGCGGGGCCCGGAGCGCGGCCCGGCACCGGGGGGGGGGGGGGGCGGGGACGGAGGGGCGGCCTCCGCGCCCCGCGCCCGCCCGCACGCACTCACCCGCGCCGCGGGCTCGCCTCCAGGGCACCGCGGCTCCGGCGACAGCCCGTGGCTCTTCCCCCACCCACCGCCTCCTCCGGCGCCCGCACCGCCGCCTGGGCCGGGCCGCGCTCGCCTTCCGCTTCCGGGAGCCCGGCGCGCCGGGGCCGGCAGAGCGGGTGTCCGCACGCGCCCGTGCCCGCGCCGTCGGCGTCGCCGCTCCGCGCCCGGGAGCCCGATGGGAGCCGCCGAGGGCCGAAAGACCCGACACCGCGCCGCACACCCTCACCCCCTCTCCCACCTCCGCACCGAGCCGCGGGTCCGCGTGGGCCGCCATACCCGGAATGCGCGCACCTGGAGCACCTCCGCGCGCCCCCCCCTACCCCCCGCCGCCCAGGCCGGCCCCGGGGCCCCACACCGGTCCAAGGATCGCGAGCGGGACCGCCGGGCCCTCGCCCCACTCACGCGCCCGGGACGGCCCCACCGGGGTACCTGGCTTCCCAGCGCGGCCTGGCAGCCTCAGCATCCTCTGCGAGCGCGCAGGAAGTGCTCGAGGTCTGGATCGGAACCCGCCGCTGACCAGGCTCTGCGGGTGCTTCCCCGGGGTGGCCTTCAAGATCGAAAAGCACCGCACGAAAATGCGTGGCCTCCCCCACTTCACACCTTCCGCCGGCGTGCTGCAGCCCTCCGAGATTCTCCCTCTTCCTGCCGGCCACCCCAAGCCACACACACTGAAGCTTTACTTCTATTTCGGAGAGCTTCCAAAAGTGGCACCCTCCCCCCTCGGGGCACAATGAGCAGTGTCAACAATCTCCTCCCAGGTCTCCTCACCGGACACGGGAGATAACGAAAGTCTTTTCCGGCCTCATCCCCGGCCGAACAGTGCTTTGGAAAGCTTATACCAAAGTACTAAAATTGGTGCTTCCAGACCCTATGAAATTGAAAGCCCTCCACAAGTGGGTCTGTTCCTCTCCTAAGTGATTTGGTTCGTGTCCTCCAGAATCCCTTTGGTTCCTTCCATTAGAGTGCCCCCCCCCCCACGCACACACACACTCCATCTCTTCTCTGATCTTAATACTGGCCAAATTTGAAAACGAACTGAAATTCCACCACTTTACTTGCACTCACTGTAACTTCGGGGTGCTTTTATGCTACTTTGTATTACTAAGGATTTTTCACATGTATCCTATCACAATCCATCGTACATCTTCAGATCTTGAAGACATAAATGAGGTGTTTTTGTTTTTGTTTTTTCCCCAAAGTGTGAATCCCAGACCAGTAGCAGCCACATCCCCTGGGAATTTGTGAAGTATTGCACATCCCAGCCCTACCCCAGATTAGAAATTTTGGAGGGAGAGCTTAACAATCAGATCTAACCAGCCTTCCAAGGTGACCTAAGGTATATTCAAGTTTTAGCATTTCTGATCTAGACCATTGTATCTTCTAGAAATAGGGATTGATTTGACTATATGCAAATTTGATTCTCTTTTGGGTTAACAAAAAGTTCCCCTATGCATCCTTAGGTAGTTGAAAGGCTAGTCATAATTGCTTTTGGAACAATTAATCTTTGATTTCATAATGTGTTTGGTTTAGTAGGATTTTTTTTGGTAACTTGATTTGTTCAATTAGGCAGAAATAATACAAATAAGAACTACTTTGAACAAAAACAGGTAGACTCTCCCACCCCAACTCCAGCTACCCGACTGCATTTTGTTTTGCTTTCTTGGAATACCTCTGTTAGAGGGAATAATTTGTGTCACATGATCTCAACAAATGTCAAACTGGGAGTCAGTTGGGAGGCATATGAATGCACACTATTAGAAGTGTACATTTGTGTGTGTGTGTGTGTACGTGTGGGCGTACACACACACATCAAGTCTAAGACTTGAACTTAGGGCCTGAGCAATGTCCCTGACCTTTTGGACTCAAGGCTAGAGGTCTACCATTCAAGCCACAGCTCTTTGGTGAGTAATTGGGGATAAGAGTCTAACAGACTTTTCTGCTTAGGCTGGTTTGAAACTGCAATCCTCTGTTCTCAGCCTTCAGAAGTGTACATATTTTTGATGCCTATGTTCATGAGTTAAACTTTCTCTTACCAGTCAAGTCAATTCTATAAAGAATTTCTAGGAAAATCACAACAGGAGAAAAGGAAAAGTAGTCTCAAAACCATGAGCTTGTGTAGCATGGGCAAGTACAAAGGCTTTTCTAGCCCTTTTACATCTCATTATAGTATTCCTGCTAAGCATTGATTGTATTGATATACTCAGACACCTGTGTCACAATGAAAAAATACAGAAAATACAACAGCAAATAATCGTTTTGAAAAGGAAGCATTTTGTTTTTGTTGTTACTTGTTTTGTGATCAAACACAAGACCTAACAGATGCTAGGTAGCTATTCTGCCACTAAGCCACACCCCCAACTGTAAGGCCTTTTCTGTGTAATTAAAGGATAGACCAAAAGATACTACGTCACACACTGTTTTCCCGTCCAGAATTCTAGTCTACTTTCTGGACCTGTGATGGGTTGAAACATAATTATTAATCAAACTAATTTTATCTGGGAAAAATAGTAGACAAGGACAAGGGACATTGTTGCCACTGCCAAATGAATTCTTAACAAAGGCACAGTTGAGGCATTTATGTAGATAAACTCAGCCAAATATCATGCTTCTGGGCTGTGGCTAGTGAGGAATAGATTTTACTGCAATTTCCAAAAGTCAGTGCAGTCCAGAGTTTAATCAGTACTGGCTAATAGCCCTTGGCAGCTCTGGGTGGATGGCATTCTCCACCTGCCCAGCTGGGTACCATACCCTAAGCACCCACATTTGATGCACATTCATGATTTCTTGGTTGCTTATAGTCATCTTCTCCATCTGCTTGAGTGGCAGAGTGCCCATTCCACAATAGTCTAATAATCTAAAAGTTATTTACACCTTTTTGGGGTAACACATCTCTTTGAGCATGTGATGAAAGTTGTGGCTTCTCTCCCAGCAAAGTGCACACAAGACACGTACATAAACGTACACACATATATAAAATTCAACACACTGCTTTACCTTCTGACAATTTCAGGAGGGTTATAATGAATTCTTGAACCACAGCCCAAGAACTTTCCCTAGAATATAGAGATTAGAGGCAAACTAAACCTTTTTTTCCAAAATAACAAAACTCTAAATCACCATTCTTTATCTTGAAGATAAAACGGAAGCAAAACTGAAAAGAGTTACAAGCCAAAGAGGACAGTATGTCAATGAAGTTGATCAAGAGTGGTGGGTTTCACAGAAAAAGGACCTTGCATCTGACAAGAGAGAATAAAATTTGGGTTTGGATTTTGGCTGGGGTGGGGAGGTAGGGGAGATGAGGAGGGATAAAGAGGTCTAGAATTAACCCCAGAGCCTTGTGAATACAAAGCACTAGGGTCCGTGTGGTACAGGTTAATGTGGAATAGATGGAAAGATAGAGGAGAATGAAAAGAAACAGTCAAACTACAGTGAGCCTCAGAAGGAAAACTATTTGTAATGAAGAGCCATTAAGGGTTTGGATTAGGAGTGATGACCTGCTGTAAGTTGGAAAAGATTTTGAGGGCAATGGTACCATCAAAAGGTAAAGAGGACATTTCAAAAGATTTTCATGTCCTGCTATTTTCACAACCTGCTATTTGCTTGCTGTTTCCTCTACAAGCTTCCATCACAACAAACAAGATGAACTCAATCTTCTTACACTTGCTAAAATGTCAGTGGGGAAATACATCCTTATGGAAGTTCACGTGTGTTTGGAATCCTGTACATTAAAAGTGTTAAAACCTATCTGAGAGTGAAAGAATGAAAACCAGCTTGAATAAAAAGAGAAAAAAAAACCAGTCATTAACCAGGCTGGGAAGACAGAACAGCTTTATAGCTGGCTTTAACAGGAAGAACTGCTGCTGTTAAGAAATACTGCTGTAGTTATAAAATGCCATAAGGACTTTCTCTGAATGATTACAGACTTCTTACTGATAATGCTGACTGCTATTTTTACTTATTACTGTTGACACCCAGTTGCTCAGCCATCATCAACTCCTGATAACACCCAATCAATCTTTGGTTAATTCGTTCTTCTCATCCCATCTTAAAACAAAAACTAATTCAACATTGATCCATACTCTCTTCGTCTCAACTCCAAATCCTTCAGGAGCCCACTCCACAAAGGATGCCTTCCTCCTCCTTCCTTTTCTAGGAATAAGTGCCCTCTATCCCTGAAAGGTAATATATCTGATTTCGTCAAGCTTCAGGCTTGTACCTGGTAGACTTTGGCTGATTAAGTCTTAACAGCCGCTTTAACAATGAAAGGTTTCAGCCCGGCTGGTGGCTCACGCCTGTAATCCTAGCTACTCAGGAGGCTGAGATCTGAGGATCGCAGTTCAAAGCCAGACCGGGCAGAAGAGACCGTGAGACTCCTATCTCCAATAAACCACCAGAAAATTGGAAGTGGCGCTGTAGCTCAAGTGGTAGAGCGCTCGCTTTGAGCTGAAGAGCTGAGGGACAGCGCCCAGGCCCAGTGGTCAAGCCCCATGACCGACAAAAAAAAAAAAAAAAAACAATGAAAGGTTTCCATTGTCAGGTATTAAAGTTAATGTTCTTCAGGAAAAAAAAAATTCTTCATCCTGTGTTAAGGACTGAAGAAAGTAGCTACCATTCCCATTGATGCGTCTCAACAGTTCACATATGGTCTCTTCCCAAGTGGGAGGCAGGGGTCATGCTTTGGGCAGATTATCCTGATCCCTTATCCTTTAGAGAAATGTGAGTTAGAGGCTGGGAACGTGGCTCAGTGGTAGAATCCTTGCCTTGCATGCACGAAGCCCCAGGTTTGATTCCTCAGCACCACATAAGCAGAAAAAGCCAGAAGTGGTGCTATGGCTCAAGTGATAGAGTGCTAGCCTTAAGCTGAAGAGCTGAGGGACAGTGTCCAGGTCAAGATCAGGCCCCACAACTGACAAAAAAAAAAAAGAAAAGAAAAGAAAAAGAAAGCCTCTGAGGAGAAATGTGAATTAAAGTAGATGGTTGGGGAGGGATGTTTAATTTAGTGCTCAAGATTGTACCCAAGTGCTTTACCACAGAATTTTAATCTCAGTCTTTAATTTCTTTTTTGAGTTCTGCTCAGGCAGAACTTGAACTTAATGTGTAGCTCAAGTTGACCTTGAATTCAAGAGCCTTCTGTGTCCACTTCCCTAATGCTTTCCTACATAAATACCTATGGACTCTCTTCTCTTTTTTGGTTGTGTTATTTTAGCTTTTGCTTTCAAAGCAAATGTGAAAGCATTCCAATTGGTTACATTTTGCAAATAGGGACAATAAGAAACAACAGATTAACTTTTGACTATTTATTTTTAGTCTGTTTTCTTTTTCAATATGGACAGCTGCATTAATAGCTTAAGGAGAAAAACTTGTCACGTTTTATCCCTTACAAGAAAGGCAAGGAAGATTGTGGATGGCTTCATTGGCACATACTTTCTGCAACAGGAAGGAGTGATTTTATGAAATTAAAAAAAAAGAATGTCTAATGTCTTGCTTGTAGAGGTTTGGCTATATGGGCAAAGATCATACATTTGTTCTCATCA